TACACTTTTACCCCTTATATATATAAAGTACTATTGAAATCCTAAATAGCTAAATCCTTAATCTCTATTTTCTAATTCTCAATTGTCTGCAGCCACCAGAGGCAGAGAAGTCACCAGTCTCATCTCTCGCTTGAACTGAGAACTGAAAAGTCAAAAAATCAAAATCTGAATGATTAATACGTGTAGGTCTGTATGAGTAGTCTTGATGGTATTAAAAATTTGGTTAATACTTGTATGACAGTATGAGTAGTCTTGAAGACTCTTCAATTTAAAAATACTATTTGGTTAGATCTTAGATGGTATTAAAATTTTGGTATTGATTTGAAATTATTTGGTATTGATTGAATGATTGTTCAAAAATTTTCTATTTGGTTTAGCCGATAAGCCGCCCGATAATTGTCCGATAATTTTTAATCTGATACTAATCCACCCGTTGTCTTATTGGACTGATGAAAATACTGTCTTTGAAATTGCATGTCCTTGCCTTTTGTTATGTTGTTATATTCTGTACAGTGTTAGAGTACTTACCAGTGGTATTAGCATGTTATCATGCTCATTCTAGGGGTATTCTAATGTTATATGGAACTGTTGGTGGAAGCAGGTAGTGGTTCTCTTTACACATAGGGCCACAATGTATTACACTATTTAATTTTAGGGTTATGCTTTGTTCGGTTGTGTTTGAGATTGTTTACAGGAAGTGCATTGCCTCTAGGAGCTTCAAGCTTAATGCTCATTGTACTCCAGTTCTACATGGTTTTCTGAAGCCTCAAAGCTGGGATCCAATGGTATTAGAAGGCCTAATGATTGATGTTGATATGTTGTGTAATGCCATGACATTGTTTAGTGGTATTGACATGTTTACATGTCCATTCTGGAGGTATCATGGCAATGCAAGCATGTGGTTTTATTTGCATGATATGGCCTTCATCACAGCTTGTCTTTGGCTGATTGTATCACTCACTAGGGTTCATTCATGGCCCAATGTGTAGGCATACTTTGGTACAAGGAATCAACTTATATCATTCTATATATGTGTTTCTTGGCCTAGTCTGCATTCTTTTAACACGGGTAAGAGAGAATTGATGCCTACAGGATAGTTACTCATTGCATTGATATTCTATCTGGATAATTGGTCATCTCCAGAAGTTGGTGGTGTTGCGTGGGGGTTCACATTTGTCTTTTCCTTTGGAATGCAAAACCTGGCGCCTGGTGAGAGCATTAGAGGTGCTACATTGAGGTTTTGCACTTGGCTTGTGGATACACACACTATCATATGTTGGGAGTTAACTATGAGACCATTTGTAATAGTTAGCATTTACCATTTTATTAGTTTTAGCTTAGCATCTTTGAGATTTGGTTGGACAAATTGTAAATATTGGATCCTTATTTTTGTTTACTATTTATATACTAGCCACTAGGCAGCCTGCCTGGTGGTATATTTGCTAAAAAATAAATGTGTGGACCTTCCGGGAAAGGAAAAAAAATGAAGTGCGGATATCATGATGGAAAAATAATAAATTGTGGAGATATCCAATATTTGCCACCAACCAAATAAAAATGCCATACTCTAGCTCATTCAATATGCACGAAGTAGAGAAAAATATGGAAGAAGTACAAATATTTTACTACTTTAGTATGGCCTGCAAACTAAAACCCCAGAAAAAGAGGCATTATTAATTACACTTCATGTCGGATAGTTCTAATAAGCTCTCCCTACATAAATATTTTTTCAATTTCAAAGCTTGTTTCGAGATCTCTGATTAAGGGCGAATTAATCTCAAATGTTCCACTACATTCTTAGGGTAAATATTTATCATCATTCAGGGTTTTTATCAAACTAAATAATTTAATGTTAACAGTTAAAAATTAATATAAATGTATTTAACATTACGATTAAAACAAATAATCTATCTTCGTCGATTTGGTGTAAATATTTAATGTGTGTTGGTAGGTTTTTACACACTTTTAGGGGTCGTCTGGTATGATGGATAAACAAAAATAATCCTTGGATAAAAATTTAGTACCGCTTTATCCCTTATTTCGTTACTATTCTTGGAATAAGTTATCCCAATATTAAAAATAGTACCGAAATAACTTATACCTACCAGATGGTGGAATCGTAATTCCAGGATAAACTATCCCAGGATAAAGTAGTAAAATTGACAATCCCATAATTAATACAATATACCAAATAATCAATAAGAATAATACCAAGATAACTAATCCCATCATAACTGATCACGATATAACTAATTCCAGCATAACTTATCGCCAAACCAAACAATCCCTTAGTGATGATAGAACCACGAGTAGTACATTACGCATCCCATGTACTAAAACGATGACTAGTAAGAAAACACAAGAGGAAATGACGCTCTATTGCCCTCCAAAAATTTTATTAGCCCAAATTTATTGACAAGTTGTAGCCATTTTTCTCAATACATTGATTTTCCTCCTCTTGGACCCCTGGTTTTCTCTACTCAAGGTATAGTTCCCTTCCCAATGTAACTTTTTTTCTCTTTCTACGTCTCCCAAGGTATAGTTCCCTTCCCCGTAACTTTTCCTTTTCCCCACACGTTTTACTTTTCTCTCTCTTTCATTTTTATTTATATTTTATTTATTTATTTGGTTACTTAGTAGTTAGCAAGTGTCTTTTACCATGACAATTGTATAAATCTAGACATGCATGTTTTCACTAGCACAATTCATTTAACATCCTCCCCTTTCTTTATATTCATTTCTTTTCTTATTAATTCATTTTATAATTTTGAGTTGTTACTTAAAAAAATGGAGAAACACAATAATTTGCTTCTTTTTATTATTATGTACAAATGTTTGCTTCTTCTTCTTATTTTTGTTTATGTGATTGCTTGTTCTTCATCATCTTCTTTTTCGGGTCCTAATGATATTTTATAAGTACAGATCTTTTGAAGTGGGTATTGGTGGTGAGTTAAAATTTTAACGATGTTTGAAAGATACAATGTAATTTCATATAACAGTTTTATATACACAGCGTATAAAAGTTGTATATGCACCGTTATATGTATATAATTACATTCTGTGTAATAATGTTATTATAAAATTATATATATATATATATATTGTTTTACAATGTATAAAAAATATATATACACTATTACATTGTATAAATTTTGCATATAAAGTGTATCATGTATTTNTTACATTGTATAAATTTTGTATATAAAGTGTATCCTCTATATTTTAGTGTATCCCTAATGTATCGTTAGTATATATTTGTGGCTCCGACTTCTTTGCAGCAACCTTACAAATGTATGTATAATGTATATATAGTATATAATAGGTGTATATGTACGATTATATAATTTCTAAACATCATTTATACAATATAAATGTTGTTGGTCGCTTAATGGTGTTTTATTGACCATTTTGGAGTGAACTCCATGACTCTTTTGGGATGAAATTTTGTGCATTTGTTGTGAAGAAGTGAAGAGTGAAGTGTATTTGTGCAGGTAATTATTGCTGCTATGGATTCTAAAGGTCTTTATATATGAGATGTATAATTAGTGTTTCTAATATACAATAAATTCATATTTAGTGTATCTTTTGTATAATCTGTGTATTTGTATACACTTTGAGTTTTTATAAAGAATACACTAACTATATATACTATACAATATGTATATATTGTGTATGTATACTATATAATATTTATATATAGTATTTACAAATTATATATATAATTTATACATGATTGATACATATTGTGCAAGTGTATTTTTGTATAAAAATTATATATAACCCATTATATATGTATAGAAGATGTATATTTACAGTTATACAGTATTTAAAAGTTTTATATATAGTATTTCCTGAGTTTGACAATGTAATCTTAGTGTATTCCGAGCGTGTTGTATATTTTAAGTGTATAAAAAATATATATATTGTTCAACAATGTATAAAAAATTATTTATACACTCTATACTAGCGTATAATATGTATAGTACATGTACAATCTATACATCACATTCTTCTTCTTGTTATATCATGGGTGTTTTTGCTTATGCAGTATTATATTTTTCTAGATTGGATCACTAATTTTTTTTAATTTTTTTTGTAAAAGATAAAAAAGGGATTGTAATTTGCGTATAATATGAAGAAGTTTGGTGGTTGTGGAGAAGACAGTTGGATTTCTCTTTTGTAATTTGGTGAAGTTTTTTTTTGCAATTTTTTTTTAGTTTCTCTTTTGAAAAATATTTTATTTTTTTTAATTCACCAGCTCTTTGGACTTTTGACCGAATTATTCTGTTTGTGTAATTGAAAAAAAACTTATTTGACTGAAATAGTTTTATACTTTACATTGCTTTGGTCTGAAGATATATTTTTTATTATTGTAAATGAGATTTCTAAAATAAAAAATCTTGACATGGGTTTAGAATGCGACTAGTAGAATTTTTATTTTACTGGCTAGTTATTATAATTATTTTTTGACTTCAACTCGCATAGTAGATTTTTCGGATAGAAATTGTCAAAAATTTTAGTCTAGCGACTAAAAGTGAAATTGACTCAAAACACAAAGCCTTATGGGTTAAGGCCCAAAAGACAAGATACCCTTAAATACCGTCAAAGTTGTGTTCCTGTCCTGTTGACAGCCATTAACCAACATTAACTTAATCAAAAAGCAAGATAAAGTAATGATCACCCCTATTCCTCCCCACATCAAAGTTACATTAAACTAATGCAAAATACTGCAAAGACAACTTCTCCATCATTCCATTTTGCACTGTACATCCACCCCACTTAGCTGTCTCATGTATTATTCTTCAGTGGCATGTCTGTCCCTTTCAATCTCTAAATGGAAGACTAATCAAACGGACCAAAATTAATTGAAGTTGGTTACATCATGAAAACTACTTATTTTAATCAACTACACCTTATTTTAAAATTAATTAAAGTTGGTTACATGAATTCTTGATACTTCTAATTACCATAAAATGGACATCATGACTCCTACTACACCTTTTGATTTCAAATTAACTGAAGTTGGTTTTATGAGTTCTTGATATTTTTATTCAAAGTCTATGCTATTAAAAAAGATTCAATTTTTATCTGAATTTTAGACAAGTTATACATAGCTGAAGGTCCCATTAGTGGGATCTTTAGAAACAGAACCGAAAGTAAGAGAAAGAAAAGAGGATTGAAAGAGAAAGGTGCAAACTTTTTCTTTTTCACTTTCTCTTTTTTCTTCTTTTCATACCTTTCTTTTTTTATTTTGTTTTAGCTTTTACACATTTGAACACTAACAAGGACCCTTTAATTCAGAAAATATAAGTAGCTTTTTTTAGCTGAGGTGAAAAAAAGAAGAAAGTTAAATTCTTGGACTGGTTGTTGGGCTTTTGTGGAGAATTGGTTTTGATCTGTACTCAAAAACTGGTATGTCACTTATCTTGGAATTTTTTTTTCTGTTATTTCAGTTCAAGAAAAGCTTTATGGGGTTTTTATATGTTCTTCAATTGATTTATTTTATGTGGATTTTCATTTTTGATGCAGTTTTGAAGTTTCTGCTATTGCCAGTTGATATAAGGGGATTGAGTTGTTTCCTGTAATTGATATTTGTATTAAGATTTTTGAGAATATTAAGTATTGTTTACCAAAAAAGATGGGTGTTGAGTTGTTAGAGATTGGAGTTCAGATGAGGAGAGTAGTGATGTTTTCAATTAAAGGATGTTATAAAACAGTGTTGAATCATCCTTTCCTTGTGAGTATGCTGTGTTTCATAGCATTTTTGTACAGATCTTTCCCATTTCTGTTTTCCATATTAGTAGCTACATCCCCAGTTCTTGTTTGTACTGCTGTTTTGCTTGGAACTTTACTAAGTTTTGGTCAGCCAAATATACCTGAAATTGAAAGGAAAGAAAAAACAACTCATGATATAGTAGAGCCTTTGAAAACTGGACTATTATGTGATACTACTCATATTGAGAGTGAAGATAGCTACTATGTGGAGAGATATACTGATAACGAGAGGGACGCCGTAGAGCAATCCATTGATAAGGTCAGCGATCTTTCCCCTTTACTCGAGGAAAGGTCTCGAGAATTTCAATTTGGGAATGGGGTTTTTAATGAAGCAGCAAGGGAGTTTTATGAGCAGAACAGTGAAAAGAAAGAAGAGAAACATAACGATGGAGAGGATCTATACTCTCCAATCCCAATGGCTGATGGGGGTTTTGAGGAAGCAGAGAGGGAATTTTATGAGCAGAACGATGAAAAGAATGAAGAGAAACATGATGATGAGGAACTTATGGAGAGTCAATACTCTCCCATTCCGACAGTTGATGAGGGTTTTGAGGAATCAGAGAGGGAATTTTATGAGCAAAACGATGAAGAGAAACATGATGATGGGGAACTTATGGAGAGTCAATACTCTCCCATTCCGACAGTTGATGAGGGTTTTGAGGAATCAGAGAGGGAATTTTATGAGCAAAACGATGAAGAGAAACATGATGATGGGGAACTTATCGAGAGTCAATACTCTCCCATTCCAACGGTTGATAATGAGAGCATTGAATTTGATTTTGATAGATCAGACTCCTTTGATTCTAAAAGGGTGAATCTTAATTCTCTTCCTGGTTCCCCTTGGAAAAAGGAGGAGTCCGACAAAGAGGAAGAACAGGAGGAGGAGGATGACGAGGATGACGAGTCTTTTGATTCGGAGTCTGATCGAGCGGAGAGCTCTTCTCCAGATGCGTCAATGGCTGACATTATCCCAATGTTTGATGAGCTCCATCCGCTTTTAGATGAAGACACTCCTCAACATGTTAGTTTGTCGCATGATGATGGTTTTGATGCTGCTTCTGACAGTTCGGGTAAGTTCAGTGCAAGCGATAATGAATCTGATGATGGTTGTGAAAACCAAGAAGAGGTAGAAGTTGCACATGACGAGAATGAAGAAGGAACACGAGACAAGGAAGATAAAAGTAAGTCAGCCATTACATGGACAGAGGAGGATCAGAAGAATCTAATTGACTTGGGAAGCTCGGAGGTGGAAAGGAATCAACGGTTGGAGAGTCTTATGGCGAGGAGAAGAGCACTGAAGAAAATGAGGCTGATGATGACCGAAAAGAATTTGATTGACTTGGATACCGCTGATCTTCCGTTCAATATCCCCCCCATTTCAACAGCAAGAAACAATCCTTTTGATGTTCCTAAGGATAACTACGAACTTGGTCTGCCTCCAATTCCCGGGTCTGCTCCATCCATTTTAGTACCAAGGCGGAACCCATTTGATCTTCCCTACGACTCAAGTGAAGAGAAACCTGATCTTATGGAAGACAGTTTCGAAGAAGAGTTTATGGCATTTCGACCAAAGGAGCCAGTCTTACGGAGGAACGAAACTTTTAGTGCAAGACCCTCACTATTTGGGGTGAACAGGCAAGATAGCCATTTCAGACCTTATTTTGTCCCCGAAAGGATGGCTTCGGAAGGAACAAGCTACTCACCATTTCAACGACAATCTAGCGAACTTAGTGATTCCAAGGTAAGTTCTGTTCCTGAAACAGACTCACTAGGTTCAGTTGAAGACCTCATTGAAGAGGTCGATGTAAGACACAAAAGCCTCGATGAAGAAGAACTGGAACACAAAGACCTCATAGATGAACATATCTCCGAGGAACCAGAGCTGATATCTAAAATGGAGCATACTTCTGAGCATGTCAGGAATGGAAGTGAATCCTCTGAAGAAGTCGAGTCATTGGAGCAGCTGGGAGCTGTGGAAATTCATCATGAAGTAGAAGAAACTTTGCTCCAGGAAGGAAGAGTTTCCAATGCTTTGGAACTTAATCCAACCGAAATTCAATCGAAGTCAGAAACTTCTGATCAGATATACAGCAATCAATCTAGCTCCTCATCGTTAGAAGTAAGTGAAAGGGTCATTGCATATAAAGAAGAAGAAGAAGAAGAAGAAGAAGAAGAGACGGTGTCAAGCTTAGAGGAGACAATGGGTGATGTTGAACAAAATGGGATCTCCAGGCAAGCTTCATTTAATGGATCAGATTTCCACATCACGAGCACTTCAGCAGAGCAGACTTCACACCGGGAACCTATTTATGATACCAGTCCTTCTGCTAGTATGGAAAACATTTTTTCAGCCTCCTTAAGTTCAGATCAGCTTGAGGAATCTGAAACAGGGTTTTCCGCTATATTGGTTAAAAGAAGCGTTTCTTTCTTAGAGAGGGAATCTGAGGAAAGTAGTCAGGACATTCAAAGGTCCATTTCTACTAATGAAGAGATTTCGGCACCAGTAGCTGACCAAGAATTTTTGTCGAGGGACGAGGTATGCAAACGTGAGCTTGATGTTGCAAAGGTGGAGATCTCTCAACATGAATTCTTTGGCAGTGCAAGTGCTCCTCCAGTGACTGAGTTTGTTGTTGGTCAGGCATCTACTGACTCAAAATTATCGGCAAATGAAGATATTGGGAATGAGGAAGGAACTATTGAGCATGCACAGCATCAAATTTCTTCTTCAGGATTTAATGCGGATACACATATTGTGTCTCAGTTTGCTGTAGACCAGACAGTGGAATTCCTTTCAAAGTCCTCAGAACATGAAAACATCCATCAGTTGGATGATGAACAGCATTCTCTAATCGCAGAAGAGGTTCCACTCGTTCAACCAGATATGCCTTCTTTGGAGAGGGATTCTGTGGACGATGCAGCTCAGAAGGAAGAAGCTATAATCTCAGAACTACATGATCTTCCCTCATCAAACTTTGTTGTAAATTTGGTTACTGATGCTCACAGTGAATTTGATGAAAAGCTGATCTCTTCTGAACATCAATTTGCTTCTGTAGAAAAGGCCTTCTCTCTGTGTGAAGAAGACGTCGCATGCTCAGACAAATCCATGGATGAACAATCCTCAGAGGATCACAACGTAATGGTAAACAAGTTCTTTTCCAAATTTCTTTCTTTTATGCATTTCCTTTTCTGCAACATTTGTTTCTTCATTAATTCTCATTTCATATGTCCTAGCACATTTTTACTAGAGTTGATCTTAGAAAGTTGAAATTTGCCTGGTTTACTTATTATATTAAACGGTGTGACTGATGCTAAGGAAAAAGGAACTATCTACTTGATTTACAAAATAACAACATAGAGACTTATAATTTACTTTACCTGAACTGATAGCAATAGACAACCGCAACTTAAGACTTCTATAGTAGGAAGAATAGTAGTCTGGTTTCCACGTTAACATATCTTTCATGATATATATGTTGCCTGTTGGAGAATAAACTATAAGCCTATAAAGTTGTTAGGCATAACGCATCAAACCAAGGTCGATCTATGTAACCTGGCCAATTTAGAAGTCTCGGGGCCTTATGCATGAATCCCAACCTTTAAAGTGTAGAGAAGAATGCAAAACCAGGTAAAGGGAAAAACCTCAATGCACAGATTTTCAAACTCATGCAATTTTCAATCTAGATTAAATTGAAGATAAATGTTCAAATTATGGATCTGGCAGAAGTCAGTGATAGAAGCACTAATTGGCTAAGAATAACTCGCGTATTTGAGAAAACTATCATTCACAATCTGGACGAGCGAATTATTGCTGGTTATTTGTAATTTGACGGTATTACACTTACTATGGATGTCCTGCATTATCTGGACGAGTGAATTACTGCTGGTTTCTTGCATGTACTACTACATCATGCCAAAATGATTGGGAGATTGACTGGTGAGTGCATCATGCCAATAAGATTTGAAGATCAACTGGTGACGTTTCTGGGGTTATGCTTTTCCTGTTTCATTGCAAGTCTTGAATTTCCGCGCGGCCGGGGTGGTGGTGGGGTTGGAATGGGTAACCGGGATTTGTGAGCTTGGTCGTGTTCC